CCTTGATATGTGCTTGAGAATGGCTTAGTCTCCGGTTAAACCCAGGTTTAAAGCCTTGCAGGGCAGCCTAAAGCCCACTGCCAACATTAGGACAGAAAAAAGAAAGAAAAATAACAAACGATCAGTTCAGGGGTTTATAAAAAAAAAAAAAGTGAGTCAGGAAATTTAAAAAACAATTTGGATTTAAAATGGAAAAATGTTCTATTCTTTATATTTTTTATTTAAAAATTCCATATAAACATGGATGCATAAAAACCTGCATTTTATTTCAGTGTTTGTTAAATACTGTATAAAGTAACCGATTATAAATAAAAATGTCTCCTGACCTTTACTGGTTGATGATTTTCTTTATTCGGACCCTGCTGATTTTTAATTGGTGACCCCTGACCTACAGGATCCACTGTGACCTTTAACCTTTCAGGATGTTCTACTAATAAAGGTCACAGTGAAAACTGCAGATATTAACCTGTAGCTTCCTGTTTGCTGCAGACTGTTTAGCAATTAGCTTTAAGCTTTCCAACAGAAACTAAATTAAAGTTTAAACTAAACTTAAGGATAAAAAAGCAATAAAAATCAATCAATAAAACTCAGATGATCCCTCATAACCAGACTAATATGTAAAATTATAAAGTTTTAAAGTTGCTCCACATCAACGTTCTTCATATTAGAAACATTTAGGACCAACAGCAGTCAGTGGGAACATAAAGTTCTTCCACCTGTTTTTATTCCCACTTAAACCGACCTTTAACCCAGTTGGACTGTTAGCATGAGTTAGCATGGGTTAGCATTAGCCACCTCAGCTAACTAGCTCCATTCACTTCAATGTAAACTAAGCTAACAGCTCAGTTTTAGTCAAAAACATTCAAAACAAACATCTGTCAGAATAACTGAGCTGCTGAAAAATGTCCGTATTAATTTATAAATGTTCCAGATGCTGTTAAATGGCTTCAGCAAACACATTTAAACTGATGTAAACGTTTCTTTGCTACTTAGCTGCTTTTGTTTTTACTCACCACAGATCTGCTGCAGAAAGTCAACATTCTGACCAGGAAACGCCCACAAACCGAAGTCTGAATCCGGGGAGGATCAGCTCCTCTGCTCGGTGTTTAACCCCACAAACCGCGGACTGAATCCGGGGAGGATCAGCTCCTCTGCTCGGTGTTTAACCCCACAAACCGCGGACTGAATCCGGGGAGGATCAG